AGAGGAAGGACGGCCTAATGATTGCTACAGGAGACAAAGAGTCTGCTGTCCTGGGCTTTACCAGCCCAGATTATTGGGTGACCTTGAGTGGCTCTCTATATTGGGTAACTTCCCCGAAGTTCTCAGTCCCCAGCCAACTAAGAGTGTCAAATGGAGAATAATTTGTTAAAAGGAACTTTAGAGCAGGGTTCACAAACTATAGCCCCTCCAGACATATCTACTAGTGGGTTTTGGAATTTTTAAACATTGAATTTTAACACCTAAGGAAGGAGTTTGACATTTTCTAATTTACACATCTATCATGTTGGGTCTTTACATTTGGCTCCTAAAGGCCTCTGAGTATATGACAGCTGGTTTCAATGCAACCTGTGGTCCTAATACTATAAACTAGATTGGAATTGCTTCATTTCCAACTTAACTCTATCTCCTCAACAATGACATGCAAATATGTACTTCGTAAGTACCAAAAAGATGATTTTTCTGGCCTAATGTAACCTTCTATACAAAGACTTTTCCTAGGAAATATGCTAAAAATTAAAATTTGAACTTCTAGGTAACTGAAATTCTAAATCTTTAATTTTATTTGAAAACATCATTCAGGTCCAAGTATTCCTTAGGTTATAATTTACTTTGTTCATAGAATTTAACTTAGGCATGGATCATTTTACTTTGAGGAGAAAACATATCTCTAAATAATGATCCTAAACCTGTCTCTTGCCACTTCAAGAGATCTCCTAAGGTATTCTAGAGAAGTCAGGAGTAAATTATCCTCACACATCTAATAACCAAAACACCACCATCTCCAACATTACCACAGTTAAGTATGCAGATTGTCATGAATATTTACACCTAGCAGGGTCCTTTGTGCACAACTCTGAGAGACAAATGGTATTTCCAGTAATAGTTTATTGATTTCCGAATGCACAGGGGTGCCAAGTCCAAACATTCTGGGATAGTAGTAAATCTCTCTTACAAAATAATTTACAGTATGAAAATGATATACTGAAACATTAACTCAAACATGTAATTCCCCTGAAAGATTGAGTGTTCCCTTGCTTAATGTAAAGGGTGGAAGGGGACGATGACTAAGGAGAGAATGTGACTGTGCACCAGAAACCAGGCAGAGCACAAAGAATTCACTGGTTCTCCCCACTCACGCAGTGTGGCCTGTCACTGGAGAAAGACTGGGCAGGTTTAACTCTCATCAAGTAAGAATCTGCTGTTCTCTTGAGGTCATATCAAGCCTGTATGGGCTCTGTGTCTTTTTTTTTTTTTGCACCAGTGTATCCAAAGTGTTTTCATTTATTTTCATTCTACTCTGGCCCTGGTTCTGCTGCTTCGGGTGTGTTCTGTGTTCCAAACGATACTGTCCTACTCTGGAGGCAGGAACTGCCTCGGTCTCACAGCTTTTGAAATGGGTTAGAAATGGGTTAGAAACACTGCTGGGTAAAGGCAATAATAATGAGATCTGAAGTCTCCCTATGGGCTTTCTTTTTCTCTGTAGGCCTGGGCTGAACTCAACCCATGATGAGATTTTTTTTTTTTTAATATAAAAATCTGGATGTGATCACCACACAGTAAACATGCAACTAATTTTCTTATGGAAAAGCAAGTACTGAATAGCCATTAACTGAGTGTGGAATAGTAGGGATCAGCAGGAGGGTATTTTCTAGGTGGGAAGATGGGACTTCCAAGGCTCTGCCACTACCTCAAGGTTGTGAATTCTGCAGTGGTGCCCTCAGGCCTGAATGGAGTAGTCAGACTCTCAGGTCACCCAGATGGCTCAGCATCCAAATCTCCCATGTCATTAGACATCTTGGAGGATGGATAGAGTACAGTTCCCTTCAGGGCTGTCACCATGGCTCAGTGCTTTACAAGCTGACAATGTCTGCTACAGAGTTGCTCTCGGGTCTTAAATATTTTGTAATAAAATAGAGATGTACACATACATGTCACATTCATCATTCATATACAGGTACACACACACACACACACACACACACTAGGAATTAGCAGGAGAATCCAGATTCAATGAACCGTGAATCATTGCACCCTCACAGAGCACAGAACTGGTGACCAGGTTTACTAGAATATGAAGATTTTCTTTTCTGGAGCAATGAAGCTGTAGACATTTTCAAATAGACTAGAGAGCAAATCACCCTTCACTTTTACTATTTCTGCAAAGTCCTATCCTCTTAAGGCTAAAACCCACTACATTTATAGAAGATGGCACCAAAAATAAAAGGTTCTTCCAACTTGTGTGTGTGTGTAGGGGGTGGGTCCCAGTTGTTATAGTATACTTAAAGTATCCACTAAAGGAGAGGAATAAGGCTACCTTGATGTAATTTCTGAGCCCAAACTATAGCCATGGAATGTCATTAGAAAAATAATTCATAAAGTGGAATGGTCAGACTTCAATGGGAGAACCTAAAGCCTCTTTATCCCTCTGCAATTTTAGGTGCATCATGGCATGGGACAAAGAGTCTATCTACAGATTTAAGTAGAGCTAGGTTCAAAATCTGTCTCCAATATTTCCTATCTGTGTAGCTAGCTCAAGGCATAATCATTTTTTTTAAAGAATTAACTTGAGTTTATTTATTTTTTTTTGAGACAGAGTCTCACTTTGTCACCCTTATAGTGTGCTGTGGTGTCACAGCTCACAGCAACCTCAAACTCTTGGGTTTAAGCAATTCTCTTGCCTCAGCCTCCCGAGTAGCTGGGACTAAAGGTACCTGCCACAACAGGCTCTTTTCAGAGAGCTATTTTCAGGCTATTTTTAGAGATGAGGTCTCGCTCTTGCTCAGGCTGGTCTCAAACCTGTGAGCTCAAGCAATCCACTCACCTCAGCCTCCTAGAGTGCTGGGATTACAGGCATGAGCCACCATGCCTGGCCTACATTATAATCTAAGAAATAGGAATGTAGTGCAGGGCCTGCCTCATAGTTGGTCCTCAGTATGTTAATTCCTTTCTTGGGCTGTCAGAGCTAAGACTGTAAGCACTTCTTGGGACTGCCTTGGATTTAATAATATCAAATCAAAGGACAAATTCCTCTCACTATCCAGAAACCCAACATTTGACAGGGAGCTAAGAACTTCTATTGAGTGCCCGACTAGTTCTGGAGACTTTCATTACCTGCCTCCCTTCGTGACTTTTTAGGGATTTCTGTAAACCCCGCAGCCTGCAGCCAGTACGGACTCAATGCTGAGCACTCTAACTTTTACTGAGCTGGCAGGAGGGGAGGCTCATCGTGCTGGGGCTGAAGGCCCAGCAGTATGCTCCAGCTCTGGGGGAGGCTGGGGCCACTGCAGGAAGCATCCTAGCTCTTACACTGATAAATGCTGCCGGCAGGAACGTAGGAGCCTGGGCAGAAGCTACTGCGCTGTGTAATGCTTCCCTAGTTAAAGTTTTATCAGGTACTGAAGACAGCAGGAGCCTATAAAGCAATTCTGAAACTCTTTCTAAGTAAAACCAAAAATGCTTTCCTTGAGGATTACAGAGATATGATAATTTATCGAGACAAGTTGGCACATATTTTTATATTTCCATTTATATCTACTGCATAAATGCTTAGATTTCCCAAATACTGATTTAAAGTAATAAGATATGATCAGGTATGAAGAGTCAATGATGGGTCCATTGCAAATATGAGGTAACTAGTTAGAGATCAAACAATGATGATGGGGAAAGACATCCAAGTTTCCGAATTCTAAAGTCTTTTAAATCTTTTGATATTTAAACTCTTTCAGGAGTGGCTACTGGTCTTTCTTTTAGGGTCGCTTTCTTAGATATGACTGGAGTTTCTAATTAGCTGTATGCCAAATTCTCCAGTCTTTGTAGACAGATGGATAAAGCACCAAAATTGTCTTAGCCATTTTTTGGCCACCAGAAATTTGGTGACATCTCAAATTCCTCTTAACCCCAATATTCTGATATATTTAGTGAGCCAGGGTAATCTTAACCTAGAAGTATATATGCCTGGTCACTTCCTGGCCTCAAAGAAATAAATTATTTCACAGCATGCACAGGATTGAAAAATAATATAAATAGGATTCCTACAGTAAACAAGTATTATTTCTGCCTCAAAACCATCCTGCATGCACACGAATCAGTTAGCCCTAAAGCTTTGTAACAGGTACACAGGTAAAAGGGTCACAGGCAGTCAGAAAGACGGGAAGAGAGAGATTTCCCCGAACGTAGGCTCCTTTGATTCTGCCTCAGACTCACTAGAACTCTAGGCCCTAGGTCAGCAGCAACCCCAGAGCTGCCTGGATACGGTTCCAATTATATTTGTTAGAAGTGAACACCAAATACCAGTAAAAACAGAGGAGAGGAAACAAAGCCTACTTGCACAAAGAATCACCTTTCAATTCCCCCATTTTATCTTAACAGTTTATGTGTACGAACATACTATTCCATAATACAATTGTGTTTGCTTTATATAAAAATAAGATCATCCCCTGGCTCCAAACCATTTATTAAGTAAAACTGATGCTTCAGGAAGATGCAAGTTTATAAGCTTGCAGCTTTGTATTCCCTAAACACATCACTGCTTACTTGAGAGTAAAAAGCTCGGTTGTAAGAAATTGTGATTTGGGACTAAAGAAAGGCAAGTAAGTCTAACTTCAGGCCTGTCTCTGCTCTTGTTCCTGAAGAGTGAGCCAGGTGTGGGGATGATCTAGAGATCTGTGGGTGAGGAGTAACATAGGAAAAAGGGTTCCAGGAGGCTATCTCTATCTGCTGGGGGAAGCAGCTAAATTCAGCAAAACATACACAAAGTAGCAAGAATTCTCTGTACATGCATTTAAGCCGTGTTGGGCTAAATTGGAGGTGGGACCAGCCAAAGCCTACATTGCAAAATCCCATTTGGTATTATATATTTCAGCCCTTCATGTTGTGACAAGCCCATAAAACCTGCAGAAAAATTCACCCAAATAATTCAGGTTCTATCGGATACTTTAGTAACTATTTTGGAAACTCTGGCAATTTGAATTCAGAAATATTGATTTCAACTTTTAATCGGATTTCCTTGATCTTCCTTTTTTTTCTCCCTAAGGTCATTTCCTTTCCACGTATTCAATCATTTTTTCATTTCAACAGCACTGAATTATGCATCTGAGTACTGGATAACCTCATACACTAAAAATATCTTTATCTTCCTAACTTTCAACTATTTCTCCAATGCTGTTTTCAAGTCGTCTATCTTAATATACGGTACCACATATTCACACAAAAGTAGAATTGGACTTTTAGAGACTTTCTACATGAGTCAATTTGGCCCTATCTTGCCCTCATTTATTTCATGCTTCAATATGAATGAAGTGGGTATTTTGTTAGCAGGTAAGGAATAAACTGTGACTTCCCCTCAAGATTATTCCAGATCCTTCCTAAGGAAGTGATAGTTTGGTTAGACAATACCACAGAGGCTGGCTTTCCTAAGCAAGTTCAAAGCAGCCATTGAGGAACTGCCTGAAGGACCTTTCTTAATTGCTCCTGGTTGATCAAAGGGGCTCCTTTCTTTGACCTAACATAATAAGAATGAAAAGCACAGTCAGCAGCATAAAACCAGTCCTCCCTTCCAGAGATAGGTGCCTGCTGTGGATCTGGGGACAAACAGGTGGAAGTTCGTTTGTTGCTGAGCAGCTTTCACAGAAATCAGAAGCTGTTACATACACGCTGTCACATACACACAGGGGAGGGGATGCGTTTCCACTGGGGACGGCAAGCCTTCATGTGTCCTCTTCTTCACTGGCACCACTACAAAGGAAAAGGAGATCCAGGTGAGTTAAGACATCACAGGAAGAGAGGCAGCACAGTCTACTGGTTGATGACACTGCCTTTATTGCCAGACATACCCGGATTCTAGTCTCAACTACCATAACTGAGCAATGTAGCCATGAACAACTTACTTAATTTCTCTAAGTTCTGATTTCTTTATCTTACCACAAGGAGAATGATGACAATAAAATCTATTTTCTTGGGTTACTGGAAGATTAAATAAGAGAATACATATCAAATGCACAGTGCCTGGTATACAGTAAGTGAATAGCTATTTAAAGGAGGTGAGAATCATACTATTTTTCTTTAACTTAATTGACAAAATAAGCTGCTGATAAGAATCAGAGTTTGATTTCTCCTAAGCTTTAAGCCATATATTGTTAGGAAAGAAAAACAAGGAGAAACTATCATCTACACTCCTAATGGAACTTTGCATTTGGAATAAAAGCCCAGGTTTCAACTCATGCCACCGGGATATTTTAAATGACACCTCTTCAGAGAAGGTACTTTAGCCCTCAGTAGGACTCCTTAGTTATTCTCTACCTTATTTCTTTCATAGCCTTTATCACATGCTATAATTTATTTGTTTTGCTATTTAATTCTCTCCCCTATTCCTGACTAGAGCAAACAGAAGTAGCGATACTATTACTTGTGTATAGCTATGACTATTTCATGATTTCATTATCTATGTACTGTGCTAGACACATAGTACTTAACAGATAGTTTTTACAAGGGGGTTAGAATAAAAACAATAAGAGAGAGAGGGAGGGACACATGAAAGGTATGGCCAGTTACTACTGCTCTGATCAGGGCTGTCAAGATGCAGTGATGTTTCTGTGGTCAGAAAATCAATTGAAGAGCCCCAGAGATATGAGTAGTACCTCAGCTGTCAAAGGTACAGCATCTCTGGCTTGATCCTGGGAGAGAACACTGACAATACAGAAATCAGGGCAAGGAGAGCCGATAAAAGAAAGGTGGCATTCTTAGAAGGACAAAGGTAGCAAAGCTGCCTAGCTTCTCCTCATCTACTTCTAGAGGTCACTGTCTTAGAAATAATAAGAGCTGCCAACTTAATCAAGTGTTACTGCGGGCCAGAGCCCTGAATGAACTAAGCATTATTCACCCACTCCTTCTATTACATAGGGACTACTATTATGCCCATTTTTCAGATGAAGACAGTGAAGCTCTGAGATATGTAAAATCCCAGATTCAGTCACATAGTAAGATGTGTGTTCTTAAAACTCAAAGTTTAGTTTGGGTTGTATAAAGCATGAAGTAGTAAGCTAGTGGAGAAGGAAAAGGCATGCGGAATATCATCTCCCAGCTATTACCCAGAAATTTTTCCATCTCACAAAGGATTATCTGTGTCTACATAAAACCTATGCTCTTTTGCATTCATTAGGGTAAGGTTTTAAGGGGAAATATCCTAGGCAATGGAATTTTAGAACTTCCACTAAGGGTGGAAAACATTTCAAGACACGGGTCTTACAAATTGAGATAATTTACTCAATGCTCTAGGACCCAAGAGAACCAACTCAGTACCTTCACTACCCCAAACTCTGTCCTATCTCTATTCTCTTTTCCTGCTGGTGGTCTCATCATAGGATGAAGGGTGCATGCTAACTAAGAAGGGCCGGGTAGTGGATTGTCATTAAGGAGCAGTATTTGGTGGCATCTGTCCCAAAGGGAACAAAACATCTTTTATGAAAGTTTCCCAACATAATCAAGGCAAAGTTGGAACTGGCACCATATCATCCCCCTTGACATTATATCCAAAGCCAGTGCTCATTGTTGGCTTGTCAGTTTTGCTTTTATATGAGAGGACAAGCATGTGACTGTACTTTCCTTAAGCTGCTGTTCACTTTTTAACATTCTTGAGATACATAGTTCAAAGGGTTCATGAACCTACTGAAATCGCATACAAAACTGTATCTGTCTTCTCCTTTGAGAATTTTCATCGTTTTCATCATATTCCCAAAAAAACCAACCCCCCGCCCCATTGAGAATAATCAAATTAAAAAATTCCTTTCCAATTGCTAGGTCTTTATTATAAGAATTAGAGAGTGGCTTGGGGAAAGGGACAATGTTCTGACTGGTAATGCCACCTTTCTTCATTATCCTAAAAGAGACCTGTTCTTGGTTCTAAAAGATAAAACTTATCTCGCAGTTTAAAATACAGACGTTGAGATTTTGGCCTATCATTTGCTAAATATTTTCTGTCTACCATGTGTCAGCCATGATGCTAGGCATGATAATGGATAAGATGGATACAGGTGTTGCCCTCATGGGCTTTAGAGCCTAGTAGGTGAGAAAGACAGAAAGCGGGGGTGGGGGCGGGGAGGAAAAGAGAACTTTTTATTTTTCAGAATGGCATCTTTAAAGAAAGAATCTTATTTTTATAATTAATGATGCATTTTTCACAATAATGAAGAAAAAGGATCGGAACTGAATCTATAACATAAAGTTTTGCTCACCTCAGGTGCAGGTCCTCTCCTGGAGAGTTAACGCGACAGTATAGTTAGCACTGAGGCTAACTGCTCTGCTGAATACTTCCTCTTCACTTTGTATATAAGCTAGTCTATTCATGAGATTTTACTTAAACAGTCCATAAAAGTTGGCACTTTCTCCAAAGGAAGTGATACAGCCTTCCACTTCAGCCATTTATTCCCCCCCCCCCCAAACATCTATCAGTCATGCTCAGATTTATAACTGGGTGAGACTTAGAGGTTAATGTCTATTTTTTTTAATGAACTAAGGGTGTTAGGCAGACAGTCCATCCCCTAGCAGGTACTTACCTACAAGAGAAGCAGCACTGTATGATGACTTTTCAGTCACTTCTCAAGTAGCTTCATATCCCTGCTATGGCATTAATAAACTGTGGGAACTTGGGGGTTTCTGAACTTCTCGGAATCTGACTTTCCTCACAGTAATACTATCTATCTTGCAAGATTATTATGAAAGCTTTATGTATTTTATGCAATATAAATCACAAAACACGTTGGCCTTCTCCCTCAACCCTTATTCTGAATCAAAACCTGCCTCCTCCTAACTTTCCTGCAATGTTCCTTGTTCTGGCATCTAAAACATTACATTCCAGAACGAGTGTGTTCTTATCCCCAAATGCCCTTCAGATATCTGGAGAACAACTGCACCCTGCTCCACTCACTTGGAGAGCTTTTTAAATGACACATCCAGACATGATGAAATATAGGTATTGAATACAAAGTCTGATTCTTTTATGTGGCAGGTCTCTAAAAAAGTTACTTCCTGCCAAACTCTAGTGAGGATAAGTATTGAGTAAGATTAGTTAACTGGCTTGAGCGCAGTCACTCACTGACTGATCTAGTCTAAGGGTACTGGTATATTTAAAATTTGTGGTCTTAAAACTCAGGTACATATACCCTGGAACATAATAACTTTCCAGGTAAAAACTGGGCATAGGTAGTTTTAAGGAAATAAATGTCCAAATCCTTAACTTCTTTCCTAAAACTGACCTTTCAAGAAAGATGTTTATATAGTCTACAGCAGTGGTTCTCAACCTGTGGGTCATGACCCACAGGAACTGTGTTAAAGGCTGGCGGCATTAGGAAGGTTGAGAACCACTGGTCTACAGGTTCTCGTTTCAGCTACCCCCTCTTTGGAAATTACCTTACTCCCACTTCAAGAAAGAAATGCATACTTCTCACCTTCCTGAATCTTACCCCTGCAACAATTTCAGAATGTCTCACTTCTTTTTTTTTTTTTTTTTTTGAGACAGAGCCTTAAGCTGTCCCCCTGGGCAGAGTGCCGTGGCATTACAGCTCACAGCAACCTCCAGCTCCTGGGCTCAAGCGAGTCTCCTGCCTCCGCCTCCCAAGTAGCTGGGACCACAGGCGCCCGCCACAACGCCCGGCTATTTTTTGGTTGCAGCCGTCATTGTTGTTTGGCGGGTCCGGGCTGGGGATTCGAACCCGCCACCTTAGGTGTACGTGGCTGGCGCCTTAGCCGGTTGAGCTATAGGCGTCGAGCCAGAATGTCTCACTTCTAAGAGGAGTCCTATGGGAGAAAGGTAGGGAGTATTAAAGGAAAAAAATCTCATATTTCATCCAGGTAATAAGCATTTTATGTGCGCTTGATCTATCTGGCCATTAATCTATGAATTAAAATTCGGAGGGGAGACAATTGTCATGAAGTATGTTCCAGTATGTTTATTTGAATTGAAAAAAATGAAATCAGACTTCATCGGACAGAAAGCAAGCCTGATTTGGCTGGATGGTTTGACCAGAAGCACTGGCTTTGCCAATTAAATTATATAGAATATCTTGCCTGCAAATTCAATAAGCTAAATCTGTAATGCCAAAGTTCTGACAAAAACATTCACAAAAACTCATGTAAACTACACAATATGTCAGCAATCACATCCTTAGCAACTATCTAAACTTGATATATAGATTCGGAAGTTAACTTAAATATGGGCAAAGAGGCACATACTTTGTTTGCAATTCATTTAAGGGATATAAAGCAAAAAAGTTACATTCAAGGAACTAGGATCTCCTAAATTCTGACTGAGAGTGTATGAAATTTAATACTGTCCCTGTTTGGGGTAACAGAACAGGACTAAGGTGTTCCAGCCAGAAGAATACCATATCCTCCCTGTGATTAGGCGCACTGTCTGATGGGAATCCTTTTCGACTTGCTGGGTGCCTGTGAAACTGAAGAGTTGTCAGAGGCACGCCATAGGCCCTGGTCACACTGAGGACCTAATACCTGCTGATAAAGTGAGTATGATAGAGAAGGGCTTCACTGCCTGACAATATTGTAGTTAGTCTGTATAGACAGGCAGCTTAGCGTTTCCGCCTCTGTCCCCAGAGTGGTAGGGTTTTTAAGAAGTCAATAAATGAGGTGGCAGGCATTCTGCCTTTGCACGTTTAATGGCTTCTTTTCCTAAGCATATAATACGACTTAATTTGATTTGGCATCACTCATGTCTGTGGAGTTCT